GCCCCTCTTTTAATTAAATTCCCTGGGCATTCCGATAATTTTTACTTGTATTATTTGTTAAATAATCAAGACAAATCTATTTCTTTAAAAATTGCAAAATTTTGCTATATAATATGTAAGTTTTACCTGCAAATGGTTGCTAATAGTTATTGATGGAAGGGGTAATATTGTTATTGTTATGTATGTATTTTTTTTGGTCAATGACTGAAATAAATATGATGATGATAACATAGACAATTAATGAACTATATATGGTGCAATAAAAGTCCAAGGATTGCAAATGTTGCAGGATGAGAGAGAGTGAGGAGGACTAGCAACTCTGAATTTCAGATTGTACTCTCATGCTAATTATTTAGCGTGAATCTCAGAATGGATTGTTTTCTCATGGCTCTGTTACCACTACAGAAGAGATAAGACTTCCAGATGTCTTGCGTAATCTTTGGGGTGATACAGAGAGAAATAAAAAATCTATAAGAGACAATGCAATAATATGTAATGATTGAATATTTGGGATAAATTTTGGGATAAATACAGGAAAGGAATGAGTCCAGGTTTTTCCGCTTAGCCTCATTTTTAAATGTTTATTTTTATGATGAGGAAGATACCAAAAAAATTGCTCAATGATAAAATAATAATTTGTTCAGATTGCAAGACTTAATTGTTTTATCTGGTCTACCCAACTGATTTCATTATCTTCAAAGAAAAAATATAGCATGAAAGAATTGCAGAAACATGGGGGAATACTAAGAGACTTGACAGACTTTGAAATTTTATAACATACAATTCTGAATATCTACTGGATTTGATTTATAAGTGAAATATGACTCAAATTTGGAACAGGTCAAATATTGCATGATTAAATGGATGCAGAATTTGAAAACATTAATAGAAATGCAATAATGGAAATTTCAGTGGAAGAAGCATAATAAATTTATCCTGAATATTTGAGAGAATTGGTACAAGATATTCTGCCATTGGCACATTACTCCAGTTTTGATTGCTAAAATGAATAATTCATTTTCTAAAATCAGCAGGTTGAATTATTTATTCATATGTAGTGGCAATGCTCTAAAGCTCAACAATTTTGGAAAATACTTCATATTATAATGAAACAAATTTTGAAAGTTGAATTTACTCTGCAACCTGCAATATTTTTATTAAATGTTACCAAACTGCATAGTCCTTCTAAGCATACTGAACTAGCTTTGGGTATGTTAACTGTAAGGGGATGCGGTGGCGCAGTGGCTTAATGATGCTGGAAGTTGTCGGCCAGAAATGGTCGACACTTCAGTGGTTCAAGCCCAAGCTCCATGCGGCGGGGTGAGCTCCCGTCTTACGCCCTCAGCTCCTGCCCACATAGCAGCTCGAAAGAGTAAGCAAGTAGATAAATAGGTACTCTTACCCTGATGGGAGGAAAAACTCTGGCGGCGCCTTGCATGGGAAAATGGGAATCGGTTGCTGGTTGCTGGAGGCAACGCAATGGAAGAGACTTGATTTCCTGCGACCACCAGTTGGGCTCTGCCCTAGGAAGGAGATAATGGCAAACCACTTCTGAAAAAACCTTGCCAGGAAAACTTCAGGGACTTGTCCAGGCAGTCTCCATAGAATCAGTCACAATTGAAAGTGGATTAAAAAAAAATGTTAACTGTAGCAAGAATAGTGCATGCTTCTTATTGGAAAAGATATTTGATCTTTCCTTGAAAAAATGGCTAATCAAGTTATGGAACTATTTTTCAGTGTCCAAAATAACTTTATAGTAAACCTGATGTAGAATT